CCAACTGAAGTCCAGAAATAAGAGGTCAACTAAGGACACCTAGCTGAAATATTGTTCTAGCATCATAATCTGAGGTTGCTCACAGAGTCTTTTTCTATTTTGCCACCAAAAATTCATGGTAATCTCAACCGGCAAGGCTACCCCTGAGGCCATTCCATCAAAAACATATTGCTGTTTGGCCAGTCCTTTGTTCTTCAGGAGGCTATCAACATGAAACACTTCAGCAATGTGCAAAAATGATCTCACAAAGAAAGAAAATGAGGACAACTCAAACTAATGACCCAGACTGCCCACTCTCCAGAGCTCACTCCCCTAGAGCTATGGCATGAACTAAACAGGAGAGGAAGAGCTAAATAACCTTCAGCATATCAAAGCTCTATACATATCAAAGCTATACAAAGCTGAGAAGACATATTGGGTGATTTCCTGTTTGAAACTAGAAAACCAAAAGCCTGTGTAGTTACTAAGGTAAAGGGTGGCTATTTTAGTTTTGTGAACATTTAATGAAACTTCTACAAAAGAAAACATTCAAAATGTGACAGTAAGGATCTTACAAGAGTCTTGAGGACTTCTGTGAGTCTTTGTAGTTTTGCACTGTGCAGAGATGGGTAGTGATTAGTTTAAATTTGCTTTATTATGGGTACCCTAGTAAAATTTCAATGGATTTGGTTTCTTTAAGTGTTTCCAATTCATTCTCCTTCTACTCAGTATTAATATTTGTGAGCAGAGTAATTTACTTTTTACTCAGATACATTTCTACAAGTTAATTGATACCTAAGCAGGCTTTGTTCTGGTACCTTTGTATTTCTACACAAGTTGTTTTGAAAAGTACTTTTACTTCTACTTGAGTCATTAATTCACAGAAGTAACAACACTTTTACTTGAGTATGGGTTCATGCTACTCTGCTCATGTGCACCACTTTGTCATTGTACATACTTTTTAATGGAAGCCAAATACTATGTTTGCCAGCTTGGAAAACTGACAATGTGAAAGGTCACTATAAACTTTATTATTAAGGCTAGCCTCCATGATGACCAAAATGTCTGTAATCTTATTGGCAACTGGTTATACATATGCCATTTTGTTGGCATATATGGTTAGCACAAAAGGGGAAGGGGGGGAAACTTGTCATCTTTATTCCCAGCCACTAGAGTTTACAGCAAAAATAATGTAGCCTTCAGTGTCCCAGTAGTTCTGGAGGGCACTGCGTTATGCTTATGCCCTGTGTGGTCTTCCTCTGAGGAGCAGAAAGGGAAAAATTGAATAAACTTCTCTCAGCAGCACCATGCCTTTCCCTGAGACAAAACAGGAGCTAGTCACTGTGAACTTTACAGCCCTCCATTGTATAACAAAAGCAGAGAGGCTGTGACAGGCCCTGCTAAATACAACAAATCACTGGCACACGTAAAGCAGTTACAGAGCCGGCAGCCGTGGCAGAAAGGCATGTTTAAGTGCTGCTAAATGGCCATAACCATGGATTATTGTTCTAATTCTACTGACGTAGGTTATGAGAGCCGCAAATCCAAACTTGAGGAGAAAAACAGCGAAACGCAAGTCCCCTCCTGCAAGAGGTGTGCAGCTCATGTGGTACTGGAAAGGCCATCAGAGGGGCTATTGACCGCACCTCAGCTTCACCCCGCCAGCTCCTCTCCTAGTGTGCAGAGAGGAAATCGATGCAAGAAAAATGAGACCATTTCCTACATTAGCCTAAAGCACACAACAGTCTCACCCAGGGGGAAACTTTACAGCCATTCCACAGCTGGAAGAGAACATGAGAGAAATGATTCAAATGTGTCCATCATTTCAACACAAAGAAGACAGATCAACACAATTATTGCTTAAAGAAAGCAAACCAAGAAAAGTTATGTGGATGTGAAATATTTTATTCATATTTTATTTATATCATCATGTGTATATATATATATATGTATATTGTTTACACACACACAAAGCAAGTGAATTCAATGCAGTACTTTTTGTTCAGCACAACAGTAAAAGAAAGCAAAAAGACAGAAAAAGACACATTCAGGAGCAGTCTTGTTTTTAGCCTCTCATGCAGATTGAGGGTCATGATCAGAAGCAGCAGGTGGTGGTTTAGTTTGGAATGGAGATCTAAGGGAGTCTGACAGCAAGTGACATCAGCCTTCTGCGGCTCAGAGCACAAATACAGAGTGAAGAAAAAAAATCAACACAAACATATTGCTACCAGTTTGAAACCTCTCAACTGTGTTTTGTGTGCATGTGTGTGTGGTTTTTTTATCCACCATTTGAAAATGCTACTGCCCTTTACACTGTGGACATGATGAATAGACCAATAGAAATGGTCTAAAATTACTTTTTAAAATTACTTTTAAATGAACTATTATAGAATGATAATGTGACAAATTACTTGTCACATTATTTTACATTAACAGTTATAAACAACATTTCATTCTCCTGTAAATTTACCATTTTGGAAGTTTTGTTTTGACAACAACAATATTAATGCACCAAAGAACAATGTATGCATTCCTTTTCCTCTAGGGCTGGGCAATGAGACTGTATGTCATATTCTGAATATATTTACTTTTAGAATGCCTATAATATTTTCCTGCTTTTATATATATATATAAAAGCAGGAAAATATTATAGGCATTCTAAAAGTAAATATATTCAGAATATGACATACAGTCTCATTGCCCAGCCCTAAATAAATGTATGATCAAGTATCTCCACATTCCATGGAACCTTTGAGAATAGTGACATAGGCTAAGCTGTAACAAAGTCAGCAGCGCTATGGGAAATGACAGAATTTACTTCACATTCATCCCCAGTGTAACCTTACAATGCAAAACTTGCTCTGAGTCCTGACATTGGCTCCAGACAGAGACTAGTTTTACTGCTGAGTTTCTATCCAGCTCAAGAGCAGATATACATCTCTGTCAGTTCAGTGCACTATGGATATATAGTCACTTTTACTGAGTAACGCTGTGAACTCTTTGGTGGTCCAGCATTATAGAGTAGGTTCTGTGTTAGAGGCCAGCAAAAAACGTCCCAGGTGTCTCTGAGTAACAGCTCACCAAACACAGGAGAGAGAGACCAGAATAACATAAGCACTGTGTAAGCCTGCACTGCCACCATGTGGACAGAGAAGGCATCACACCAAAACAACCGTTAGGCACATTAGGAAGGGCAAAAAGAAAAAAATGAAAAGGTCTGAAACTGTTTTCTGAGCATCACCCAGCAGAATATGCTTCAAGTCAATGTGAATCAGAAATCATTACATTTTCCTTTTCTACTGTGACGTGTTTAGGGGTGAAATGCAGCATCAGTGTTGTGATGTCATCAGAACCCAGAAGACGAGCAAGTTACTACGCTAGATATGACATGACATGATTAATATGACCAGGGACATGAGCTAATAAGGTAAAATGTAAGGCCAATTTTAATCTGAAGTAAACATTAAGGTTTCCACTGCATGTTACCCCAAGTGGTTACATAATTCACACTGCACTTGCTCAGTTAGTTACCTAGTGACATTGTGCTGCATATTACACTGGTTCCGTATCACCATAACAGAAGTACACAATGCTGCAACACCCTAGCAACTACTCAGCAACACCCTAGTAACCACAACAGATATCATAGCAACTACCTGGAATATGGTAACCACTTAGCAACACCCTAGTAACTGCCTAGAATGCTACAGCAATCACCTAGCAACACCGAATCAACCACCAGAGAAACTACAGCAACCAGTTAGGAACACTCTAGTGACCACCAGAGATACCTAGGCAAGCAGTTATCAACACCCAAGTGACCACTTATCAAGTTTTTCCCCCCTAATATAATTCTTCTAAACCAAATGCTTCAGGCTACAGCTGACTGATATTTGTGTGGAAAAGTCCTGAAAAGATTTAGATATTTGAAGTTTTTGAAAAAGTAGTGCAAAACTTGAATATTTGCAGATTCAAAAAAAAAACAAAAAAAAAACAACTTCCTAAATTAAGCTAATCATCACTCTAGCAATAGAAACAGACTGAGAAATGAAGTAGTAGTAACATTCAGGTTAGGAATGCTCAATATCACAAAATACCTTATTGCAATTAGATAACCACATACTGTGACTGAAATATACTGTCAACTATACTCAGAAAAAACTTAGTAAACCTCCTTGATGTGATGTGGCTAAAGACTGGAGTGTGTTGTGCTGGACCAATATTATTTATGCTTGTTGAATGCTGGGAATCAAACAAACACCTAAAGATCAACTGTGATTGGCCAGGATACTCACAGTGCACAATAAAACATTCAAAGATTGGTTGGACACTATTTAATATATTACATGTTTCTACATTATCAGTATTGCAAAGGTCAATATCAATAAAAATATTAACGATGTAATGTGATAACGATAAAAGAACATATTGTGCAGCCCTACTTTACTACAAGCTGTAGCACATAGCGAACTTTAGAAATAAGATTAATACACATTCATTTCCAACCTCTCTAAGAGTTTATTAGAGATGAATAAAAGTTTTTTTTTTGCAAAATAAAAGTAGACAGCAACTCATGATTGCAGGACTTACCACAGGTTCATAGTGCAGCCCCTCTCCTCTCTTTCTCCCTCTATCACTCACAGCTCCTTACATAGAACAGAACTGTCACGGTTTTTGCATCCTGCCTCGCATCTGGTCACACAGTGTGCACTCAGAATCAAGACTGAAATGGGAAAAAAAGTGCATATATAAAATAATTTTAAGATTGGAGCTAATAATTTACTTAAGACAGACTCTTCTGTCAGCATTATCACTGGAGACTAGACTTTATCCTACCTCACTCCGCTCTTGCATATACACGTACGTCTCAAACTTCTCTGTGCATAGTCCTGGTGTGTGGAGAAGAGAGGGGCTGCAGACGGGCGTTCTTTACGCGCCCTAGTCAAACAGAGCTCTGTCCTGTACACTAATGCTGTCACGGCTGAGCTCATGTCTATTCCACAATGATCCCACCCATTCCTCTGAAGAGATGAGCAAGGCGAGCATGTGTGTTTATCAGTAATTCACTCCTGTCGCTAATCCATTCATGCTGTCCAGGCCTTCAGTGTACTCAGGTCCTGGTGTGAAGTGTCAGTGCTTAAAACAGACGGAGCTGCATCAGCATGAGACTACAATTACCATCATTCTCCCTAGTCAAAGTTCAGACAGGACCGATGAGAACATCCTGGCCAGGGTTTAGGCTCATTTCAGCAGTCCATTTATGCCCTTTAGCCCTGATGGCACACCCCATGTCATCACTGTCACTATAGTGTTTTTGATACTATAGTGTTAAATGGAGGGGCAGGAGGGATTGAGACAGCCTTAAGTGTCTCTGACGTTCCTGGGGGTCCTGTGTGTATGTGTGTGTTGGCTGAGATTCAGTGGCCTGGGGCCAAGCACCACTGTCTCAGCTTCAGCTGCTGCTCTGGAGCTCTTCTCTGAGCCACGAGGGAAGCGTCTGCCCCAGCCGGTTCAGCAGCTGCAGCAGCTCCAGATTATGCTCCCGGTAGTACTCCATCAGGAAGGCACGCGTCTGTCACAACACAGCACACACACATCAGAAGTCCAAAATTTAGCGACTGACTAGAAAAAGATAAAAATAAGACTTAAAGACTGACAGAAGCTGCTTCAGTTGACATGCCCCCAGCGTTGCAGAGCAGATAATACTGCTTGTTTTTCCATGACTTTGATAATTTTATGTACTTCATTACCTTTGCATCATTCACATTTGGCTGAGTGGTTAATAACATGTTTTTCTCTGGTCTGACAACCTCAGGACACATATTTATTTCTGCTTTACTTTAGAAATACGGTACGAGATTTGAATGAATTAACTTAATAATAATAATGAATTAAATATGGCTTGGAGGCACAAAATCTTTTGGCTTTCATGACATAACTAATGTGTTTATGATTCAAACATATGTTTATGAAAAACATTTCTGCGTGTATTGTGCGCACAAATCAGGAGAGCAGGACAGGGACAAATAAGCAATATGAAAGTTACCCAAAACATTTTACTTACCCACAAAACTTTTTTACATACCTGGTGTTTTGACTATGTAATTGAGTTCAAATATTTCTAAAAATCTAAACGTACAAGGTTTTTCTCTCCCATTCACATTTTTCCCCCATTTTCTCTCCAATTCAGATGTATCCAATTCCCCCCACTAGTTAGGACCTCCTCAATAACATGATACCACCAGCACTGGGAAGGAGAAAGCTAGCACAAGCTTCCTCCGAGAACTGTGAAGCGACCCACCACATCTGTTCGAACTGGCGCTAACGCAAAGACACTGGACAGCTGAATGCACTCTGAGGAGAATGCTAACCGCCAGTTCTGTTATGTCAGCTTACAGCACCTGCGCTGGCTAGCTGGGTGATGGGGCATCCTACCCACCGATAGAGATGGAGGGCAATTGTGCTCTCTTGGACTCTTGGCCACGAATGGCTGTGTCATCACCAGGGATCAAACTTGCGATCTTCTGATGACTGAGCCAACGCTTACATGATTATGCCACTCAGGAGCCCCAAAGTGTACATTTTGAAGGACTTCAAGCAAGCCCCACGCTCACCTTTGGTTAATAACACCAGGAGCAAAAGAGCCATTTCTAAAAGTGAGGGGGGCACAGGTGTCAGTACATGACACCCTTGAAAGCCCACACCCCAGACTTTCCTTCTTCTTTTTGGCTGAGTTTTCTTCTACTGGATGCGATTCAATGAGGTTTTTTTTTTGAAGGAACATGGGGAAAAACCCAAAAGGGAAAAAGTAAGCAATAATAAGAGCCTCCAAATCATTTCCACTGTCCGGGAGCCAGCACACTGCTGCTGTGTCTGTGGAGGGTGAGGTAATGAAGGGAGATAAGCTGCTGTACCTCAGGCGCCATTTCTAGGAATTTCCTGCCTTTGCTTTTCCCCAGACACTTCGGACGACCTCGTTCCGTCCTCTGGCACCAGAACCCTTTACTCTCATCAAACCCGCACAAGTACAATGAGCACTAAGAGATTAAATCATACCAATTTTGTGGTATAAAAATAATGTCCTACAGTCAATTCTGTAATGAACTGTACAATATTTCTGTTAAATTGCTCAGATCTATACAGTTCTAGAACATCTGTACACAAACGTTTGTTATCATACAAATATATATATGATAAACTTGCACATACACACTGAGCTATGCACTACAAGCACAACAAAAGTCAAATGTGGTGTATATAATCAATCTCATGTAACAAATATAGGGGACTCACATGAGAGCCTGGGTGTAGTTGAAGATGGGGGTCACCCACAAGAACCTCTGGATGCCCTCCATCACAAGGGCAGGGTTAGAGCGTAATAGGGATCCATCTACTACATAGAGCTGTGGGCAAGGTGCCAGAGACAGATCACACATATTAAAATGCTTTCATAAATATTCAGTTTGTTTAAGCTTTAATGTGTCTTGCTGCAGGTTAAAGTGATATTTTACCAGTTGTGAAACATTCATCCCCTCCAAAATGTAAAGGATTTCTCAAACCTTTGATAGCTTAAATGCCACATATGATTCACTAATAGTTTTTGCAAAATATTCTGTCTGTACAAAGTTAGGACACAGATGTACAGAAACAGACACCACTCAAACTTATCCCAAAGGTAATGGACAAAGCTCTATCACTCCTCCACTTCAGAGCCCAACGCTGGGGGACTTTCTACTGCTCTGGCCAATAACTGGCATTAGGCATGTTGACTTTAGGCTCAGGTGCAGCTGCTCCAGCATGCCCCATTCTATTGGTCAATACTTTTCTATCGAGATTATACAGCTGTGTGTGCACAACTGAACACCTGTGTCAGCAATGGGTGCACCTTGAAGTTGCTGAATTCACTTATAGGTGTCTGGATACTTTTGGACATTTAATGTATGTTTAAAAAATATGCACAGTTATAATAAACATCATATGGAAACTCTTCTAAGGATACTTACAAACACACACATACAGTGCTAAGTCACAGTACAGGACCATGCACCACAACATCAATATGACTCACAGAAAGGTGAACCACCAACAGGACACTCCTAAGTGGGAAATGAACATGACATTAACAAAAAGTTTAGGCAGAAGTTCAGATCGACAAATTCGCTAGACAAAAACAATCATAAATGTTAGCGTCAAATGGTAAAGAGAAAAGTTTGTATTCACTCTGACAAAATTCATCTACACTTTGTGTAAAAAAAATTAATAAATGAGGATGTTTTCTTTTATCTGTTTGCAACAACATATTGCACATGCGTGCGTATGTGCATGTCTGGTATAACAACTCTGTGTGCATTAAGGCTGCTGCTGTACATTGGGTTTTTGTTTGTTTGGATTGTTTTGTGTGTGGTATGCTTGTGATTTGTGCTGAACCTTCCTTGCTGGTGGGAAAGCTGATCAAGAACCAGCTGAGAGACTTGCGCCGCAGTTGTGAAGTCTGACTGGGCCACAAGCTGGGAAACTTTTTATAGCAGTACCAGAGTTTGATTATTTATTATTATTGTTTTTGAGTCCTGTCTTATCTGTAAACAGGAGCGCACATGATCGAGTCAAGTCAAAATTTATTTGTATGGCGCTTTTTACAACCAGTGTTGTCACAAAGCAGATTTAGGGAAAATCCAGGTCCAAGCCCCAGTGAGCAAGCCAAGGGCAACAGTAGCAAGGAAAAACACCCTAAGAACAAGAGGAATAAACTTTCAGAGACTCAAAAGGAGAAAAACCTCAAAAGACTCAAAGGGAAACCCATCCTCCTCTGGTCAACACCAGATAGCAAAACAATGACGCAACAAAAGCAATATGTTGTAAACTGACAAAAAACAATGTTAAATTATTAAAAGACTGCTGTCACCACCTTGTTGACAGACAGGGAAAGCTGCTGTAACTGATACCAGGAGTAGGCTCTGTCGACTGGGTTTATAAGCACAGCGATGATCTTGGCTCTGGGCACTAAGGCTGCAGCCCTTTTTGGGACCAACTCTGTGTCAAAGTAGTTGGCACTCTTCTCAAAAATGAAATCTGGAAAGAAGTCCACATACCTGCATATGATGAAGAATAAACACACAATACAATGACCCTCATGCCTTAAAGGTGGGCATCAGCAATTCTGGAGAAAAAGTTGATATTTGAACTCAACAGCAAAACAATTACACTCCTCCCTTCAGTGCTTCTTCAGAAGCCCCACCCCCAAAATTCATGGACATGCACTACCAAGGCAAACAACAATGGACTAGCAAACTTGTTTTTTAAGATGTTCATGACCATAAAGGCCTTCGCAAACATTGTACAGACAAAGACCATGATATAACATTAGAGTGAACAATGAAACAGCAAGTACAGGACAGAACAAACAAACTAGTTTCCCTAGTTAAATCTATTTCCTTTCATATTTCCCCCTTATTTCAATCCCGTTCCATCCCTGCTCTAGTCTTACAGTAGGTCATACACTTTCTCTCTCACCATTTTATCAGCTAATGCTGCTGTTTACTTCTACTGCAATCTCAGTCTTTGCTAGCTTGGTACATTATATCACCTTTTACAGTAAAAGTTTGCTACTGGAATTTACATCTTGATACTAGCAGCAGGTGTAGAACATACATGACTTACATGAACTGCAGCACTTCCTGGTCTGGGAAAAGGCCCAAGCTTGGTTTGAGTTGTCCTTAAATAATGCCTGGGAAAAATTCAGACATGCTCAGTAGAACCCTGTTGGAGTGATCCATTTGGAGGGGGGGTTCATGGGGTTCATAAAGTTTGTAATGCTTTTTTTTTTCCCTCATTTGATCTTGTTCATTTTGTGTGTTTTAGCTTATGATTGAAAGATCCATTGTGAACAAGGTTTTTTTTTAATCTTGTATTTATTTCACCAGTTATTATTGCTGGTTATAATTGTTTCCCCCTGCAGAGGTGAAGAACTGGTATGTGCTGGGTTGGGTAGACCAGTGCATGACAATTTAAGGAGCAGTGCATTTCTGTAGAGAATGATGGTTGGTTGATTGTTGAGCCAATGTACTTGGAGGAGAACTGTTGCTTCCCCAAAGTTTCTAATATATTCTGTAAATAGTTGTTTTGTTTATTTGTTTAATTTTCTTTTTTCTTAACATTTTGTTAATTTCTCGACACCTTTCACTAAATAAACACCCTTGCACTGAATGTGCTCTTGTGGTTTGCCATCGCTTTTTTCGTACAACTCAACCTTGTCCGAGCATATCTACCCTCACCTGCAAGCAAGGTGTGACAGGTGGTGGCAGCGGTGGGATGGCAAGCCGCAAGAAAGTGAAGGTGCCAAAGAGAACTGGTCTACGGTCACAGAACGTGTGTCTTGTAAAGCCAAAGTCTTCTGCAGCGGAGTCAGACACAGATGACCGGTGGGGCACAAAGGACTCAGAAGGGGAGTATACAGCCCAGGGGGCACGTCCCGAAGGACCAGGGTGGTCCTCCTGCTGCTCCACTCAAGCCGTCTGGGGTGTCGGAACTGACAAAGCTTCTGGGCCAGTTTCTCTCCACCCAGCAAGACCGTGAAGAGAGGCTTCTTCATGAGTTCCAGGAGTTGAGAACCAGCCTTGTAAAAGCGCGACCAGATGAGATGAGCATGGAGCCAGGTGCTGCAGCTGGGATGTCAAGATCCTCAGTGACTTCATTGTCTACAGATGACCAGAGTCCCAGAGCGCCTCTTCCCACACCAGCGCCCAGGCACACTCAGACATTTGGCCATCAGGACTCTCAAGAGATTGTTCCTCAACTTGCACAAATCCCTCAACCTGCACAGGCAGGGCCCAGCCAGAGGGACAGAGAGGTGTACTGGACTGAGCCAAACATGCTTTCTTTCCAAGCTGGGGAGGACATTGAGAATTACTTGCTCCACTTTGAACACTTGGCAAAAACCTGCGGGATGGCCAGTTGAAGAATGGGCTTGTTGACTGGTGCCGTTGCTGACAGGCAAAGCCCTTGAGGCGTATACAGCAATGGATGAGGAAATGTCGAACTCTTATCCAGACCTGAGGGAGGCATTGCTTGCAAAGTTCGACATATCCTCTGAGACCTATTGTCAGTGATTCAGGGGGAGGTTCATACCAGCAGGAGAGACACCAAAAGAGACCTATCATCGCCTGAAAGGCCTCTATCGACGCTGGGTGAAATCAGAATTACACAGTAAGGAAGAGATCAGGGAGCTCATCATCCTGGAGCAGTTGCTGCGGGTGCTACCAACAGATGTCCGCACCTTGGTCCAGGAGCATGAGCCTGCAAATGGACTGATCGCAGCACAGTTGGCACAGCAGTATCTGAATGCTCGACGAGGATTGCCGCGGTCCTCGCCAGCACCACCGAAGGAACCAAGACTTGTTGAGGGTAATATCAGATCCTATCCAGGACAAGGCCCACCTAAGGACACGTGAGACGGACAAAAAGCAAAAGGTACCTTGATTTGTCGGCAACAAGGACACAAGGCATCTATATGCCCTCTCAAGAAGCCCAAGCTGTCTAGCTACTGTTATGTGCCAGGAGAAGGTGACATATTCTTACAGGACAGAGGGGAAGCAGTGACAGGTGATGCCAGAGAAATACATAACAGCAGTTTGGGAAACTCTACTGACATTTTGGTAGTGGTTAATGGATAACCTTTACAAGCCATGTTAGATACTGGAAGTGCTGTGACTTTGATAAAGGGTGATTTTTTGCCACCTAGCATGGTTAACCATTCTGAACTGACAACAATACAGTGTGTACATGGTAATGTAAAATACTATCCCACAGCAGATGTAACTCTTAGGGTTTCTGACAGTGTGTTTCTTTTGCGGGTAGGAGTGGTTAATGACTTGCCCAAAGACATGGTGATAGGCAGGGACTTACCAGTCTTGACTGAATTGTTGGGAGAAGCCCAGTCCACTGTTAACTTATCATGTCCTGTCTTAACACGCTCCCAAGACAAAGCTGGTATCGGTCCACTACCTTCTGTGTCTGACAGCCTGTTTGAGGGGGGGAAGAAAGGTCCAAAAAAGTCACGTCAGAAACGGCGCCTTGAGAAAGCTTTAGGATCACCCATACATCCACCACAAACCACACTTCTCACCACTAGTCAATGGCAGGTCCCCACAAACATAGACACTCTCCAGCGAGAAGATCCTTCCCTGGCCCTCTTGTATGAACGGGGGGGCAGGGGAATAGCAATGGGTCACTTAGTTGTAAAGACCGATATGTTCTTGAGAACAACATTCTTTATTTGGCAGATTCACCTGATAACCGTTTGGTTGTTCCCACTAGCTGTAGATCTTTAGTCCTACATCTTGCACACACTATTCCATGGGCGGGTCATCTAGGACAAAATAAAACCTACCTCAGGGTTAGCTGTCGCTTCTTCTGGCCTTCTGTGTATTCTGATGTCCAGAAATACTGTAGTTCATGCCCTGACTGCCAGAAAACCCGAGAGATTCGACGTTCTGATAAAGCACCTCTGCAGCCCTTGCCCATTATTTCCATCCCCCTTCAGACGTGTGGCTATGGATATCGTAGGCCCTCTTGAGAAGAGCAGCTCGGGGTTTAGGTACATATTGGTTGTCTGTGATTATGCCACACACTTTCCAGAGGCCTTTCCTCTATGCTCCATCACCACCCCTAAGATAATTGCTGCCCTTGTACAACTCTTTTCCAGAGTGGGGTTTCCTCATGAAATCCTTACTGACCAAGGCTCAAATTTCACTTCTCGTCTCATGTCCCAATTTCACCAGCATCTGGGAATCACTGGCCTTCGTACCACACCCTATCACCCACAAACTGATGGCCTTGTTGAAAGGTTCAATCAAACCTTAAAATCCATGTTAAGAAAGTTTGTGTCAGACACTGGAAAGGACTGGGACAAGTGGTTGCCCTTCCTACTTTTTGCTTATCGGGAGGTACCACAAGCTTCAACCGGGTTTTCCCCATTTGAGCTTCTTTATGGATGGTCTGTTCAGGGACCCCTTGATCTCTTGCGCCACCAGTGGGAGGACAAGACTGAAGTTGATAAGGAGAAAGGCATTGTCAGCTTTGTATTGCAGATGAGAGATCGCTTAGAGTCTTACAGAGAGCAGGCCCGTCTTCACCTGGAGAAAGCCCAGCACAACCAGAAAATCTGGTATGACCAGAAAGCTCGCCGACATGAATTTAAACCTGGTCAGAAGATCCTTTTACTGCTTCCTACCTCCACCAACAAGCTTCTGGCAAAGTGGCAGGGGCCTTTTGAGGTCCTGAGGAAGCAAGGGCCGGTGACCTATGAAGTGCTTCATCCTGAAAAGGGAAAGAAATCACAGACATACCATGTGAACCTCATGAGAGAATGGAAGGAGCAAAAAGAACCAAACCTTGTTCTGTTGGTCCAGCAACTGGAAGAGGATGGTGGAGATGTGATGGAGCAACTGCCCCCGTGGAAGTCTTCACGTGATCCTAAACTGAACCATTTGGCCCCTCAGCAACAAATCAGTTTAACCCAGGTATTCAACTGTTATCCCTCCATTTTCCAACTAAATCTGGGTGCACAAACCTGGCACAGCATACCATCCATCTTAAAGATGCCTGTCCTATCCGGCAGAGGCCTTATTGAGTCCCAGAAAGACTGCTGGAACCTCTCACGGCAGAGATCCACACTATGTTGGATATAGGAGTCATCGAGCCCTCTAACAGTGAATGGTGCAGCCCAATTGTGACTGTCCCAAAGCCTGATGGGTCTCTGCGGGTCTGTATTAATTTCAGGAAAATCAATGCTATTTTGAGGTTTGATGCATACCCGATGCCCCAAATTGATGACCTACTGGAGCAGCTTGGGCGTGCACAGTTTATAATAACCCTTGACCTGTGCAAAGGATACTGGCAGGTTCCACTGGCAAATGACTCTCAGGAATACACAGCATTCTGCACTCCTCTGGGCCTCTATCACTTCACAGTCATGTCGTTTGGACTACATGGTGCTCCAGCGACCTTTCAGCGGCTAATGGACAGTGTTTTAAGAGGTTGTGGGAAGGTGGGAAGGGGCTTGATCCAACCACAAGTGGACAAGGTGGAAGCTATTAGAAATAGTCCCAGACCTCACACCAAGAAACAGGTACGGTCTTTCCTTGGCTTGGTTGGATGGTATCGCCGGCTCATCCCACAATTTGCTACGATTGCGGCCCCACTAACTGGACTGACCCTCAAGTCTGAAAGGAATCCAGTCCGCTGGACAGAAGACTGTGAGAGGTCATTCACAGCTCTTAAGGATGCCTTGTGTTCCAAACCAGTTCTAATCAGCCCAGACTTTACCAAGCCGTTCAAACGTGCAAGCAGATGCTTCAGCAGTTGGAATTGGAGCTGTCCTGCTATAAGGTACTGATGGCCAAGAACAACCGGTATTGTACCTTAGTCGAAAAGCTGTTGCAGAGAGAGACGAGATATTCCACTGTGGAAAAGGAAGCCCTTGCAATCAAATGGGCCTTGGAGAGCCTCCGTTATTATCTGCTGGGGAGGGAATTCATATTAGAAACTGACTACAAGGCCCTGATTTGGATAAATTCAATGAAAGATCACAATTCACGCATCACCAGATGGTATTTGGCACTGCAGCCTTTTGCCTTTGAAATTTGTCACAGAACCGGACAGCAGAATGTTATGGCAGATTATCTTTCCCGATTACCTCCCTTGGGCAATCCAGGAGAGATGGAGGGTAATGTGACAGAACGAACAAACTAGTTTCCCTAGTTAAATCTATTTCCTTTCATATTTCCCCTTATTTCAGTCCCATTCCGTCCCTGCTCTAGTCTTACAATAGTTCATTCACTTTCTCTCTCACCATTTTATCAGCTAATACTGCTGTTTACTTCTACTGTAGTCTCAGTCTTTGCTAGCTTGGTACATTATATCACCTTTTACAGTAAAAGTTTGCTACTGGAATTTACATCTTGATACTAGCAGCAGGTGTAGAACATACATGACTTACATGAACTGCAGCACTTCCTGGTCTGGGAAAAGGCCCAAGCTTGGTTTGAGTTGTCCTTAAATAATGCCTGGAAAAAAAATTCAGACATGCTCAGTAGAACCCTGTTGGAGTGATCCATTTGGAGGGGGGGTTCATGGGGTTCATAAAGTTTGAAATGCTTTTTTTTCCTCATTTGATCTTGTTCATTTTGTGTATTTTTATTATTGCTGGTTATAATTGTTTCCCCCTGCAGAGGTGAAGAACTGGTATGTGCTGGGTTGGGTAGACCAGTGCATGACAATTTAAGGAGCAGTGCATTTCTGTAGAGAATGATGGTTGGTTGATTGTTGAGCCAATGTACTTGGAGGAGAACTGTTGCTTCCCCAAAGTTTCTAATATATTCTGTAAATAGTTGTTTTGTTTATTTGTTTAATTTTCTTTTTTCTTAACATTTTGTTATTTCTCGACACCTTTCACTAAATAAACACCCTTGCACTGAATGTGCTCTCGTGGTTTGCCATCGCTTTTTTCGTACAACTCAACCTTGTCCGAGCATATCTACCCTCACCTGCAAGCAAGGTGTTAGCAACTGTTGCTACAATTACTGCTGCAAAGTTAACCAGTTCGGATTAGCTATTACAAACATAGCGCCAGAATGTAACTGCTGCACCATTTAAGGTGGAACGGGAAAATTTGAACAGGAAGCTGGCGAATATGAAGCTGACTTCTGCCTCATCAGATCTCTGAGGTCTCTCTACCGTTGAAATGTCTCACCGGCTCTTCGTCCTTGCCTGATCTAACTTCTTTCTCAGTCTTTGTTCTTTAAATCTTCTCCTCTGGGTGTTTCTCAACCATCTCTCCTTCTTGACAACACATGGAAGTCAGCACTAGATATATAGTCTAGGTTCTAGACTGACTATATACAAATCTGAATTAACAGAACCTCTAGTACTCCTTTAAAAACTCAAGGTTAAAGCTCTGCTACAATTCACTTTTCTATTCAATTCAGGCAGCCGGTTACAGGTTTTCTCTTTGGACCAGATGTCTCTATATCTCTTGTCATGACAGGGTTCTGAAAGAATTAAAGAGTAGGTAATGAATTAAAAGAGAAGACGCAGAGTGCTACACAGCCATAAACTGATAAGAGATGGCATAACAATCCAGAACTGGTCACTACAGTGAACACATTATTTCACAAGAATATTACCTCTGAAAGCACTGAGGAAATTTCTGTTTATATGTGTGCTTAAATAAATAAACAGTTCTAGTTAGCACTGAGACCTGTATTTTTACACCTCCTCAGGGTAGAAGAGAGAGATTATTTTTATCACATTTATGACAGTGAAAACTAATGTTGGTTTACTCTATATAGTGTGAGATGTTGACAGGCATTCTATGACATTTTTAAAATCTTCCACTCAATCAGTAACTTAGCAAAGTCTGTCTTTTAGACTGTTTAATGGAAGTGTTTTTCTTCACAGAATAAAATTCTTGAGGTGTCATCATTGTCTCATAAGCTCATAAAAATATATAAAAATTAAACTGTTGTATAATTACAATAATACGCTTGTGATACACCATGAGACACTGTTCCGGGTCTGGTGGTGATCTCCAGCACAGCAACCAGAGCACACCAGTGGCAATATCTCACAATAGGGCACAACCTTTACACTATTACTGCCCTCTATAGCCCTGCTCGGACAGGATGAGTTTTAAATGAGGTGTGGGATAACGTAAATTTTTAGAGATGTTTCTCAGTGAATTTAGTAGCATCCAAATGTGCCATGTCAGTTTTATGGATTGAGCACTCCCGTATCAGTAAAGATTCCGGCTCCTTCTATCTTACTATAAAATGAGCCATAAAGGTAACCTCAGGTTATATTAATCTCATGTGAATCAACATGCTGGTAAACCGAAAAATTACAGAAAAAACGTTTAATTTTATGCACTGATGTTGACTGTTGGCTAATGACACAGTGCTTTCAATTAAAACAGCAAGACAGACGGTTATAGTAGACAATATAATTGTTAAATTAAATGTTTAGACATTTTCTACTCATTTCTGGAGTGAAGGCAGTGTGTAACTTAAGTAGTCACTCCCTGTCATTCATTCTGAGATTTCTTATTCTGTGGTCATAAACATTACAGATGTCCTGTGGTAAATTACTTTACCCCAACTCCCCATGTAAATCTAATCCTATCCGAATGTGCAGTTTCCTCACCTGCCACAGAGGGTCCCTCTCCTCTGGAAAAATCTGGAAATATTTTTCTGCCAGTTGCAGAGGGGGCAGAGTCTGTAGGCGCAGGTTAGTCCAGCACTGCACAAACTTGACCAGAGACTCAAAGGTGTAAAGGCCCAGGCGGTCATTGCCATAGTTAGAGAGGTGAGTCATGAAGATGCTGATCTGTATGTGCAATGAGAGGCAGAAGAAGTATTTTTAAACACCATCTGTAAGAGTTACATCACGAAGGTATCACACAAACTAAGGTACAAGGGCAGCTTAAAGGACACATAAAAACACCCTGCTTATGCAATCAAAAAGCAATAAAATACATTTTATTTTAAAAAAGCCATAAAAACAGCTGCTGCTGCCTGTGGCTACTTACAGGGTTGAGGAGGACAGTGAGGAAAAGCTCTCCTCCACGGATGCTCTTGTCTAGTTTGCGAGAACCTCCCGGGTATTCATTATAGAAGATAGTGTGGGTGAAGAGTCCGCACGTCTGCCTGGGTAATACCTGCATTTACCGAGAAAGAGAGAGAGAGAGAGAGAGAGAGAGAGAGAAAGAGAGAGGGAGAGGGAGAGAGAGGGGGAGAGAGAGAGAGAGAGAGAGAGAGAGAGAGAGAGAGAGAAGCTGAGGTTTCTCAAGGAGATACTCTTTGTTTTTCTAGCTTTAATGATCTTGGCACAGACACACACGGCCACACACAGACAGAGAGAGGACAGAGTCATACTATGGCCTGCAGGGAGCAGAATAGTCTTGCTCAAGGACATAACAGTGGTTGGTAAGGAGTCATAGTACAACAGAGTGAATCTGCTGAGCTCCAGCCTCGTTGTGCAACAGAATAAGTGTCAGTATTGGAAAAACGTGACCGGAATTGTTAAAATAATGTTCAGCCCTGAAATCCTCCCCAGCAACAAGGAGAACCTGATTCATTTTTGAGATTAACAGCACTTCTTAGGGTTTAGAATTAATTAGGTAAAAAAAATAAAATGAAAAGAACCAAACTTAGTCTTCACAGGCAGGTTTTTGTGCTGCAACAGCTTCTCTCACCTTCCGTGCATGGGATACACCCCTGAGTGGTGAGGAAACACAGAGTAGCCCATATCTGTGGGGATCCCATGCTCCTAAAGCAGGCAAGCAAAGAGAGGTGCATTAGGAAGAAGAAAAGTAGCATAAAGCCACACAACAATAACAATTATCAACAACAGTGTAACTAGGCCAAAAATAGCGCACACTGTGCTTTCACTGAGATTTTCTATCTATTAATAAAAGATTAAAAGTCAGTACTGTAATGTGACACCATTACCCATATACCAGTATAGATGATATATCATCCAGCATGACAACAAAAGTATAGGCAGATTTACTTACAAAACAGACAGACACTGCATGTGTCTGAAGTACAGTACTATGCAAAAGCCAGAGAGCACCCTTACATTTATTTAACCCCTGCGGAGTTTGATTTCCTCAAAGATTTAAGTACTTTTTATTTGTGACAGTTCTGTTGGTCTATCAGGTCTTGCCTGGTTGTGAATTATGTGAGAATGTTAGTGTTTCTTTGAAAGGTAACTGTCCGTGACAAGTTTGGGAACATGTTCTGTAAGCAGGATACAGTTGTACTATATGTTTCCTGCTTCTGTTCTGGAGACTGAAAGATTCATAACTGGTATTTAACGGCTGTTTTGGCTGGAAACTGAATAAACATGTCTGATGTGAAGTCATAGTGAGCCAGTGCAGGAAGGATTAGGAGCACATCTACTCAAACACAAGTTCAGTAAGAGCTAAATGTATTCTGAATGGCAGTTCAATAAATTTTCCGTAAATGACTCATTACTGTAGAAAGATGAAAAATTCATTGTCTACAACTGGCACAGAACATTTTCCATGTTCACCACATGGGGACGACAGACACACACTTTCAGGAAAAAGTTAGTTGAGTACTAGATACTAGGACTAGAAACTTTATTGGTCCAAGGCATTACTATCACTCTCTCTCTGTATGTGACCCTATCTGAGGACAGAGCGTGTGCGAGTGTGTCCTAGTCGACGTCCTTGCTAAGGAGAGCCGTTTGCAGGCTCATTAAGCTCTGATGAAGGAGCTTTGTCTTCTTTGTTGACCAGTGCAGTGGAGAGAGCTGAGCACGTCAGTGTCTGGTGTAAGGACGGGATGTGACAGAAGAATTAGGGAACGGAGGGGCAGCCTGGTTTATATTCACAGCAGACTCTTGCACTGTCTGCCTGCCTGTGGGCCATATCCCACTCCAGCAGCCACTTTACACCAGGGTGCCCTCAGTTTCAACAGGAGAATGTCAGTGTGCTCTCTGGAGCTCAGATAAACTAAGTCAAGGACAAAAAGGGGATTCTACTGATAGCAGAGGAGAGAAGTGATACAGATATGAAACAAAACACAAGCACATACACAGAAATAATGTGTATGATACCAAACCTGTACAATCGAAGTAATGCTCATTAAACAAAAATGGACAAAAAACTGGACAGAAAATTTAAGAACTCAACTTCATCTTTCACCAACATATTCATCTCTTCATCATCATCATCATCATCATCATCGTTAACCGCTTAGTCCAGATAGGGTCGCGGTAGCAGTTGGGAGAGCAGAGAATCCCAGATGACCCTGTCCCCCGCAACTTCCTCCAGCTCATTCCCGGGGACCCCAAGCCGCTCCCAGGCCAACTTGGAGATATAATCCCTCCAGCAGGTCCTAGGACGACCCCGGGGTTTTATTCCAGTAGGCCGTGCCTGGTACACCCCCACCGGGAGGCGTCCAGGGGGCATCCGGATCAGATGCCCGAACCACCTTAGCTGGCTCCTCTCAATGCAGAGGAGTAGCGGCTCTACACCGAGCTCCTCCCGGATGGCCGAGCTCCTCACCCTATCAAATAGAGTGTAGCCCGCCACCCTGTGAAGAAAGCTCATTTCCACCGCTTATATTCACGATCTCATTCTTTCGGTCATTACTCACAGCTCATGACCATAGGTGAGGGTCGGGATGTAGACCGGTCGGTAAACAGAGAGCTTCGCCTTATGGCTCAGCTCCCTCTTCACCACTACAGTCCGGTACAGCGACTGCATTACTGCTGCCGCTTGTCCCAGCCTGCAGTCGATCTCACGATCCCTCTTCCCTCACTCATGAACAAGACCCCGAGATACTTAAACTCCTCCACCTGGGGCAAGTCTTTTCCCTTTACCTGGAGTGGGCATGCCATCCTTTTCCGGGCTAAGACCATGGACTCAGACTTGGAGGTGCTGATCCGCATACCAACCGCTTCACACTCAGCTGCAAACCGCTCCAGTGCGCGCTGGATGCATCCATGTGATCCAGCCAAAAGAACAACATCATCTGCAAATAGCAGAGACGCCACCCTCCGGCCTCCACACATAATGCCCTCCTGACCCTGGCTACACCTTGATACCCTGTCCATGAATATCACAAACAGGAGTGGAGACAGGGCACAACCCTGGCGGAGTCCAACGCTAACACTGAAAGAGTCCGACTTAATGCCGAGTATACAAACACAGCTCTCACTCCGGGCGTACAGAGATTGAATGGCCCGGAGTAGTAACCCCGGCACCCCATACTCCCGGAGGACCTCCCACAAGATATCTCGGGAAACACGGTCGTAAGCCTTCTCCAAATCCACAAAACACATGTAGACTGGGTTGGCAAACTCCCATGCCCCCTCAACAATCCGTGAGAGGGTGAAAATCTGGTCCATTGATCCACGGCCAGGACGGAATCCGCATTGTTCCTCCTTAATCTGAGGTTCAACTATCGGTCGAAGTCTCCTTTCCAGCACCTTGGCATAGACTTTCCCAGGGAGGCTGAGCAGTGTGATACCCCGATAGTTGGCACACACCCTCCGGTCCCCTTTCTTGAAAATAGGGACCATCACCCCGGTCTGCCAGTCCAAGGGCACTGTTCCCGAGGTCCTTGCACTATTGCAGAGGCGTGTCAGCCACGACAGCCCCACAATATCCAGAGCTTTAAGCATCTCCGGACGAATCTCATCCACCCCCGGTGCCTTGCCACTGAAGAGCTTGCCAACTACCTCAGTGACCTCCACCAGGGAACTGGAGCTTGACACACCACAGGCCTCTGGCCCTGACTCCCGTGAGGGAGGCATGTCTCCCGGATTAAGGAGTTCCTCAAAGTGCTCTTTCCACCGACCGACAATATTCTCATTTGAAGTCCGAGTTTCTCCACCCCTGCCGAATACAGCTTGGGCGCAGCCACCCCGACTGCTCCTGAGTCACCGGACAGTTGTCCAGAACCTCCTTGAGGCATATGGTCCAAGGTCAGATGAAACGACAACAAAGTCAATCATTGACCTTTGACCCAAGGAGCTCTGGTACCATGTACACTTATGAACATCCTTGTGTTCAAACTTGGTGTTCGTTATGGACAATCCATACCTGGCACAGAAGTCCAATAACAATTCACCATTCGGGTTTAGATCGGGCAGGCCGTTCTTCCCAATCACGCCTCTCCAGGTCTCCCAGTCATTGCCAACATGAGCATTGAAGTCTCCCAGTAAGACTATGGAGTCTGTAGGCGGGGCCCTCTCCAGAACCCCGCCCACTTGCTCCAAGAAGGCCGAATACTCCGACCTGTTGTTTGGTGCATAAGCACACACAACAGTCAGAGTTTTCCTCTCTGCGATTTTAATATGCATTGAAGCGACCCTCTCGTCCACCGGGACAAACTCCAACTGCACTGCCGCCAGCCGGGGACTCGTGAGTATCCCCACACCCGCCCGGCACCTCTCACCTTGTGCAACCCTGGAGTAGGAGAGGGACCAACCCCTATCCAGGAGTTTGGTTCCAGAGCCGACACTGTGGGTGGAGGTGAGCCCAACTATATCTAGTTGGTACCTCTCAACCTCCCGCACAAGCTCCGGCTCCTTCCCCCCCAGTGAGGTTACATTCCACGTACCAAGAGCCAGTTTCTGCCGCAGGGGCCTAGGCCACCAAGGGCCCCCCTGCAATCTCCCACTGCCCGTACGGCACTGCACCACTCCCCCATGCTGGACCTTGCGGGTACTGGGCCCACATGGTCCCCCCACGTTGCCTCTTCGGGCTGAGCCCGGCCGGGTTACGTGGGCTGCCCGGCCACCAGGCGCTCGCCAAGGGACGCTACCGCCAGGCCTGGCTCCAGGGGTAGGTCCCGGTGACCCTCTCCAGGGCAGGGTACACGATCTTCTGTGTCCGTTTTTCATGGAGGGTTTTATTCATCTCTTGTGCATTTTTAATAATTTGCAAACAGAAGCACAAAAAGTGAATGGAATTTAGGTTTATAGGTTTATTGTTCATCCAGGCAACATCATGCAGTATGTCAAACGAATATTAAGACTTCAGTAGCTAATATCCATTAATTACATCAGTAAATATTATAACCAATAGGTCAACAATAGATAAGGTATGTAGTTAAGAGAATGAGAAAATAAAGTTTTGACCCACACGCAGGTCCCTGGAGTAGCTTGTGTCAGGTAATAAACTTCATTGTGTGATCAGTTAAAAGCTTAAACAGGAATATCCAGGTGGTGACAGTAAGACTAATACAGCCAGATCTGGTGGACAAGCTACTTTAAACTTGGAATAAATCAAGGTTCATCTATTAATCCTGTTGCAACTTTAAACCCCTTTTAAAATTAATCAGAGTTACGTTTAAACTGTCATGTTAATCCTGAATTACTTTTACAGTAAATCTAGATTAAATTTAATCCTGTTGCACCATTAACTCAGATATAAACTTCTTTCAGGGATTAAATTTAAACTTCCAGTTTAGATGGTTTCAATTTACGAAATGTAAATGAAAAAATGGGTGTTCTCTGCAGAAAATCTCTCTTTAAGTAAAACCACATATATAGAGCACCTCTGAAGATTCTCCCTACAAGGGGGAGCTATCAGCACTCAAGTAGCTTCTGTGCTCTGAACTCTGTTTAATGTAATCCTCATTGGTGCAACAAACTATGACAATTCCTATTTCCACAGCATGTCCATTCTAATCATACAGTGTGTATAACCAAAGATTACCTCTGCTCTTCACACAACAGCTCATTTATGCACTGCAGCGTCCCACAACTGGTGGGTGCTGGCGTCTAGA